CACAAGTAATATTATTGTGATATTGGTATGTGTATGGATGTATACAGTTTGGTTGGTTGTGTTAGTGCTTATGACCCTTGATTATTGTGAATTAAGGTTTTAATGGCCAAATTATGTCTAGAATATAATATAGTTTGGTTGGTTATGTGCTTTGCGAGAGAGAGAGAGAGAGAGAGAGAGTGTGTGTGTGTGTTATATAGTTTTTGGTGTTTTATAAACTTACATGAAGTGGTGTTAAACTTTCATATTATTTCTATGTTTGAAACTTGATTATACTCATTTGTGAATCAGGTATGAATATGAAATTTTAGTTTATGTTATTTGATCATTTCCTACAATGTAACATTGGTATTGAATGAGCAAATCATTACGAGATGGGTGTAAGTTTACCCTAGAGTCTTCAGGAGATATCGTATGAAATCCATATGACATTGTGGAGGCCCCAATGCACAGTCTCTCTCTTATAAAAGTCTTAGTGCTATTTAAAATAGATTATGCACATAACACCCCAGGTATTCGAGAAAGTGAGAATATGTGGTCCAAGATGGGTAAAGGTGTCTTTGGCTAAGGCTATCTCTCATGATTGGTGAACTTAGGCCGGTTCAATTATATAGACTTGGTCATATTGTGTTGTTAGCTTAAAAATTCAGTCAAAGAAAATAATGAAGATATAAGGTGGATAATGTTGATTATGCATTTCATGGACTGGCATATGATAATCATGCATTTATGTGTATCCGATAAATATTTTACTTACCACTTCACACACTCATATGCTGTTTTGATATACTTGTGAATAGATTAGATTATCCAGTTATTAAATCTTCAACTCACTCCCGTGATTATATTTTATAGGTAAAAGCTTTGACGAGGGCAAAGGAAAGAAGGGAGCTGCCAATAATTGAGAGACTTGTATTTGTATAGTTCTCTCTCTCTCTGTCCCTCCTTCCCTCTCTCTCTGTCCCCCCTTTTGGCATTGTGTAACAAATGATTTATAAATTTATGACTAACTTAAGATCATATAATGCTTTTGGGATCACTTGCATGAGAATATATAATTTATGGGTATCTTGGCCTAGGATAATAACATTGCTGTATGAGATCAAGATAGTAACACAAGTAATATTATTGTGATATTGGTATGTGTATGGATGTATATAGTTTGGTTGGTTGTGTTAGTGCTTATGGCCCTTGATTATTGTGAATTAAGGTTTTAATGGCCAAATTATGTCTAGAATATAATTGTTGATGTATGACTGTTCAATTATATTATGGCATATTTGAGTCAGTTGAAGTGATCATAAGGCCATTGGCTCTTAGTTGGTGGTTTTGGATACCTTAGGGCGAGCTTTGAAATAAATAAGGGAAATTTTGTGCTCAGGTGTTCAACTTTTAAATTGTAAAGTATTTAGTTGTGAAATGAACGCTAACAGCTGAGTAGTTCAAAAAGCTACATGTGGATGCTTGAATCACTCAAATTGAATGTCAGATGGTAAAATGGGCGCATCTCAAAAATTAGCTCGAAGATGTTATCATGAAATTAGCAATGTGCCGTGGTACAAGACTTGTGCATAGTGGTGCACTACACAATGAGAGGACTTTCCTCTTTAGAGGACGGTGCAGTTTGAAAAGTATCCAAATTGTTCTCTTTTGATCATTATATGGATTAATTTATATACGCTCCCATTCTTTCATTACTTTTTTTCTTGTGTTTTGAACTATTATTTGATGCTCAAACATTTTCAAAAAGGGTTTACTGGGATCTCAACTTTTAAACTAAAACTTTTTAAACCCTTATGTTATGATAACCCAATATAAGGAATCATCTTATTCCTAGTTATCATAATAGTGTTACGTGCTATGTCCTGATAATGTTAAAACAGACATTATGTCTATGAATTTTCAACATAGTATTTATGAATGCTCAATACATTTAGTGGACATTAATTAGAAGTATGTTGTTTCAATAAAAGTATGTCGCTCGTTATGGGCCTTTTGTTGTACAAATGTTGCAAGTTTATATATGTTTACTGTGTTGAGAATTGATAAATATTATGTGGTGTATTTATGAATATCGCGTTGTTCATCTTTTACTTGCTTGTACATTTTATTTCAAGTTAAATTATGTCCACCAAATGTGTTATGCATTCATTAATATTGTGTTGGAAATTTGAGAATATCATGTTATATATACATGGACCTTATGTTAAAATAATGGCAAATGTATCTTTTCGTCCGTAATAAAATTATAAGAAAAGCCTTCGAGTTTGCAATGCATTGTTAAATTCTATTCGACTGTATGTACAAATTTTTATGTTTTGAATACCCTGCTGAATAACATTGCTAGCAGTCAAAGAACCCTCATGAGCCTCCCCCTGCTCCTGTCAGAAAAGGTGAGTGTGATTATTAAAACGATCGAAATCTCACTCTCCTCTTTTTTCTCTTTTCGACCCATTGTTTCATGTGCCAGTAATATCCTCCTTTTACAACACGTACTGATATAGATCTGTCTATCCCGCAAAATTTTCACCGTGACATCCTTTGGCTTATTCTTTGTTTTTGTTGTCCAAATTAAATATCACCCATACACCCTCAGTCCCCCACAACACACACTCGCTTTCATTTAATTTAATATAATACCCCACATACACACAGAGACACAGAATGGCGTTATCTTTTGGATATGACGAGCAGTCTTGGATCCCAAAGCCAGCAAAAGGATTATTTTGCTTGTCTGAAATAGCGTGGGTTTTTAACATTGGCTAATGAAATTAAAGTAGCTTTAAAATTAAAAGGTTGCTACCTTTCGTAGGGGGAAATCTTCAGTATTTGTGTTCTCTCGTGTTCAACTGTATGACAAATCCGGGTGCCAAATGTCTAGTCTAAACTCGTCTCGGACCATTTTTCCTCGTTTCTGCTATTATTTATACGTGGCTTGGGCTTTTAAGCCTCTAGCTTTTGGGTGCATGGAGAGGCAGAGAAAAAGAAAGCTATTTTAATTATTTCGCCTTTTGGTATTCACTGTGTACTGTGTCATTGATTTTTCATACAACATGTATATATGTGATGCATAAGCTAGTTGGGCGGAATGTCCTCTAGAGGAGTCATTGAATGAGCAATGTCATAGCTTGTATTCTCATTAATTATAGCTATACGTTGCTGATGTTTCTGAATCTCTTTCCATCCACCACATTGAATGTCGAGGATGTTAAAAGCTGAAATCCCTTGAAAGGTGGCTAGCCTGAATTAAAATTACTATTCAAATTCAATGCCTATCCCATCAATGCACCAGCTAGTGTATACATTCTCTATTTCTCAAAACTATTTTGGCGAGACTGAAATTCTGAAGGACCAAACGACCTGTCTCGACTTTCATTGAAGTATAAGTGTTAAAAATAATGTTTCAGTTTTTTGTACGGGTGAATCAATGATTTCAAATTTCTTTAAAAAGAACTCTCCAACTTCAATTCCCATTCCCTTGGTCGACAGCCTCACCTAATATCCCTAAACTTTGTCACCCACGAGGCTAACACCAATTTAACAATTTATAATCTAAATAATAGCAGTCATAATGCAGACATGTGGACATCGATTATCCTCATGGCACCCGAACTGTGTTGCAGTTTAGGTACTATTCATTTATTTATTCCTTCTTTTCAGCTAATGAGTAGTGCACAAAGCTTTGAGCCACACAGTAATAATTCTGTTCATCGATTATTTACTCATCACCAGTTTATTAAATTTATTTTGGTTCACGTAATATACTACACTTCCTCGGTCTATAAATGTAGGTATGAAATTATTTAAAAATGTATTATTTATTATCTCAACTAAATGGAGGATAAAAGTTTTATTATTGCATCTTTTTTATATTTTTCAAAGTTGGGACGGAGTAATTATATAGTTTTTCTTGACAAAAAATTTAGCTGAGTTGGATTGAGGGACTTGAGTCAGAACATGTTTTTATGCTCAAAAATTACATGCAAATATACTTGTAAATTATCCATCAATTTTACATTTTTTGAGTAAAATAAAATCTTTACATTAATAATAAAATTTGATATCGTGATTTTATGAAGGTGTATTTAAATTTCAATCATGGAAAATTGATTAACAGAACATGTGTTTGGATAGTATTTTCTAACATTGATTTTGCAAAAACAATTTACTAAATAGAGAAAATATTAACTCATGCAAAATGGAATTTTATGAACCAATGAAATTTAAGAAAATTGGAGGTAGCTGGCCAGTTTATGTAAAGTGAAGTTTCAAGAATTAAGTTAAATGGAACTTTAAAAAATTGTGGGTGTTTGAACGACTTTTTCAAAATTAAGATTTTGAACCCTTAATTAATTTTCGAAGAGTATCCAAACATACTCCAAGGAATGAGCCAAAATTATTAATGACTGGATCAATAAATATAAAGATTTTGAAGTGGGAGAGAGAGAGAGTTTTTGATTGGTATACCCTTGTGCGGGGAGCGTGGCCCGCCGCGATTGGGTATATCCCATTCTCCATTTTGAATCTGTAGAGAACCGTTAGTGTCAATTTTGCAATTTATTGGATTATGAGAGGCAAACAACTGAGGCGCCGAAATTTCGGTCTAGGACAGGATTTCGCCCCCCGAAACATTGCACGAAGTCCACCATCACATACTCCCACTCTCTCCACCCCCAACGCCCTAATTGTCAGTCTTATCCACGACTTGTGATTCAATTTTCAGGGGTCACTCCAACCCAATGCGCCAATCTACCACTGTCCAAAGGGTAAATCGGTCCTATGGTGTTAGATTCCCCTGCTGCTCAAGAAAAGAAAATCCTGAGCCATAATAACAATTCAAATTTTAGATGTTTACGGACTTAAAAAGCCCCGGGTAACAAATAAATATATATTGTTTTTTTTTTAAAAAAAACAGATTACTGGGATCGAAATTAAAAAAGCTGCTCTTTCTCGCTTCCAACTATTTGTACTTTGTCTTGTTCAAATTGTATTTCTTGCACTGTTTAATATAATACGAAGTAATCTGAGCCTGAAATTTGATAAAACCATTTAAAACCCCTCGGAACCCATCTCGCTACAGTGTGAGTGCCGGCCTGGGACCGCGCATCGTCTTCTTTAATCGGTTAGGGACTGATTTGGAGCTCCGCAACCGACGCGGAGTCATCCTGCTGGTGATACATTTCTGTTGCTTGGGGGAGAGGGGCACGAGAAATGGAGGAAGATATGGAAATAGAGCACGTCTTCGTTGCTCATGAAATAGACCTCGATTACGAGTTCGACGCGGCTCGCTTCTTCGATTTCACTCGACCGGAGACTTCTGCCGAAGCTCATCAAGCAGAAATTTGGTTCGAAACCGCTGGAAGCTACCCTCCTTCACGTCCGTACCTTTATTTTCATTTCTTGAATCTTTTTATTTGGATGGTGGTCCTTTTATTTCATTTTCCATTTTTCAATTACTATTTGAAATCACACTGACCTACGACTGCGGCATTATGTTTCTTTCTTGGTGAATACACTGTGTTTACTTCTATTATCTGGTCACATTTTCCTCATTCTGATAGACATAGCTACATTTTCTCTAACAACTAGCGGCTCTGCTTTGAAAGGCAGATAGGATGCTGGTCTTTAACTGCTCTACCGTTTGTGTGTTTCTGCTGAAATCGAACATCATATAGCCCTAGGAATCATATTTTGCCTCTGTTTCAGCTTTTGTGGCGAAGCTTGTAATGGGAGAGGACGTTCTCATGGACAATGCGAATGCCTTACCGAAATCCAAACATCTGGAGTACGCAAGTTTGATGGATGATAGCAATGTTAGTGTTCCGTCGGCGATGGAATACTCTGAGCCTGATATTGACAATAAAGGTACGCATTTTTTTTATCCTGTGTATCTCTCTTCTTCCGTTATAACATGCTTTAGTATAGTTCAAGTTTCGATATATGTGAAGTACACTAAATTCAAGAGGAGCTTGCTATACTGCTTTTGTGCATACAAATTCCCATCACTGGACCCCTCCATTGAACTAAGTCAAAGAGAAACTGATCTGTAATTACTCGTTATATGATAAAATACCTTAATATTTGTTTCTATGATGAAACTGACTGGTTACCAGTGACATTAAAATAATAAAAAAAAAGGCACGACTATTTTGTTCATATGTCATACTCTTTGCGCATCTGCCCCTGGTAACTTTCTTTGTGGCTAATCCTTATGGACCCAAACTTCATTCACGAGCTGTGCATTAAGCTGCATCGACGATTTTAACTGACAGCTGAGGTTTATCTGTTGATAGTAGACATGTTTTTGGCATGTTCACTTCTGCTCTACAGAGTGGACCATGTGAGATTTCTTGTAAAAGATGTGCCAGGCCTGCATTTATACTAGCCTTAGCAGCATCATGTTAATGTTCACACATTCAAGAATTCAATTCCTGCCCTTCTGAATTAATTGCAACAGTAATTCATACTTTGTAGTTGGTACAAATGCCTAAACCCCTGGAGGCTATGTTGGCAATATTACTTGCAACAGCATAACAAAAGTAAAGGGCAAAACTGGGACATTGATTACCTTAATGGCCTATTTCATTTAATATTGAGACCTTTTTTCTCCCATCGAAGCTGTCATTGGTGGTTCAAACTTCTGAATTTCATTGATGATGTCTTCTAATTTTTAGTGGATGTGAAAGAAGGTGGCAATATCTCCGGCGTATTGGGTGGAATTCTACAAAATGTTGCTATGGAACCATTACGAGTAACTTCAGGTAATCAATGAGATAGCATGACTGCATGTTTAACATGCAATGTTGCCACAAAATGTTAGTGACTCAGCAGCTAGCATCTTATCATCTTTTTGTGAATGATATTTTCTAAACATTAGTTAATTAACTGTGTAAATAAACCTAGGCTTCACCAGTGGAATATCTGAGGTTGTTATGCTGTCGTTAACATGCACCTTACTTAGTTGTAATCAAACACTTGTATCACGGTAGTGTCAGCTTCTATCTTTTTTCTTTGCTTTGACTTTTTTATTCCTTTTTTGCTTGACATTTATTTATGTCTCTCTCTAGGATTTACCTTTTACAGTAAGAGTAAGACAGCCTGGGACAATTTGAATTCTAAGGCTAAATCAGCTGCCTCAAAGAGATCAACATTGATGAAACCTACTGCCAGTCAGTTGGCTAAGCAAAATCGTCCTCCCCAAATTGTTGGCTCCAGGTGAATTTTGGCAAAATGTCAATTTTTTTTTTGTAGTTAATAACGAACTGTGAACAGAATAACATTATCATACCTGGCTTGCTTGTGAAACGTATCATGTTTATGTGTTGTGCTAGATTTATGTTACCTCACTAAGGTTCATTGTCTTAAATTATCCCAAACTTTGATGAGTACTCTGTTCTTTGTGAAGTTCTAAGTTTTTTTGGGCTGGCAGCAAGGCTGTATGAATATTGCTATATTGGCTTCTTAGCATGACCGTGATGCTGTTATGCAACTGATTAGATCTCTAATTCATGGTGATGTTTAAGCAGGAGAATGAGTTGGTGATGTTTAAGCAGGAGAATGAGTTGCCAAAGAATTGTTTGTACCATCTGTTAACTCTTCCTTTTTTCTCAGATTTCAGAAGCTGCCAGGACTTAACGATGAAAAGAGTGTATCATCTATTGCTTCTGGGGTAGAAAGTCAAGCTGCCAAGCGGCAGAAACTGGATTGTGGGCTATTACGCAAGGTCCACAATTTGCTATTCTCTTCTCTGATTTTACTGATACTTTAAGAAGAAGCTGCTGAATTTGTCTGCATTTACCTCTTAGATACATGGCGATGATTGATTGAGATTGTCATCTTTTTTATGCATCAGAGATGCACAGGACTTATCCTATAGCGCGATAGAATTTTTTTCATGGGTTATTACTGAAATAAATGTTTAAAATTAGATGTTAGACCACCATGTGTGTGTGTCCTAAACTTTTAGCTGATCATTTGACTTGTTAGCATTAGAAAAATGAATCGGAAACTTACATGAATCTCAGATAACTTTGACCAACCACTTATGCTACATTGGAGATCCAAATTGCTCTGTGTCTTTTTATGCCAGGTTGCTGATGTGAAGCACCAAACTAATTTTTTCCACAAGGCACCCAAGACGGTATGAATTCTTTTGTAAATCACTTAAATCTTCTCTTACGAAAAAGTGATTGGATGAAATTGACAAACACCTTCTGATTCCAAGATGGTGTTTGTTTCTAATGTCAGCTTTTTTATGTATTTTGTTTTTCCCATTTCATCATAAAACAACACGAAGCCTTATTCCACTTGGTAGGGTCCATTTCATTATGAAAATTAAAACCAAAATTTGATCGTTTTTTTGAGCTCCAATTGCAATGCTATTGAAATGAGTAGAGGTTTATTGAACAGATGTTAAAGAAAGGGTACTCCTTGTTAAATATCCGAAGACCAAGAGCAGTTTAAAATTCTTCACGGGGAGGGAGCTATTTCTTGAGACTGGATATTTGTATATTCTTGCAGGTTGTAACTGTTGAACAGAATGCTGCACCAGCCAAGCTGAAGCTTACTATTCCATTAGAACCTGAGCTTGAAACAGCCCAAAGAGCACAAAGGATTAGGTTAGACGTTATAAACCTCAGTGAAATCTTGATGAAGATCAATTATTTTGTTGACTTGGTTGAAATCCAGAAATTAATTTGTCTTGCAGGCCTAAAAATGCCGCAGTGACAGAGCATGCAGCAGTGGCTGTCCATAGATTCAAAGCACGCCCTTTAAACCGAAAAGTTTGTATTTTTTGTCAATAAAATTGGTTTTGTTTTGTTATTCTTAGTTGCCATCGTTCTCCTAATCACGTTAGTAATTTAGATTCTTGAAGCTCCTTCTTTACCACTTCCCAAAAGGAGCACTCCACGGTTGCCTGAATTTCAAGTAAGCTCCTTATATTTGCTTTCTTAGCTCATCAAAATATATCACCACTTGCAACAATCATAAAAAGGAATTGAAATAACAGTTAAATCTGAAAAGCATGTGTCGTCCATTGCACGCATTTTGAAACTTCGTCTCCCCTGTCTTGCTTCTCACAGGAATTTCACCTGAAGACATCAGAGAGGGCGATGCAACACACATCAGCTAGTTCATCCTCTTCTCTTCAGTGCAATAATTTTGATAAGGTTTAGTTCATTTGATTTTGAGTGAAATTGTTGCTTCACAGCCTCATGTAGTGTGGTTCAACATTCTCATGCACCAAGTACATGAAAAGAAAAAAATTAAACGTAAATTAGCATAAGCTGCATACTTCTGATGACTAACCTGCATTGAAAACTAAAATTCTTTGGTTGCAGTGTTTTGACAAACCAAATACTGTCTCTGCTCAAGAAAATAGAATTAAGGACGTTACAAGGTAAGAAATACCGTGTTAAATGACCATCCTACTTGATAGTTCATGGTGCAATGGTGTTAACTTTGTTAAAACTTCTTGTTTGCCCAGGTCAAAAGTCATGACTGACCTAAAGCACGATGGTTTGGAATTTACTCATAATTTTAAAGCTCGGCCTCTAAATAAGAAGGTAATGAGACATTAGTTGGAGAGATGCAGAGAAAGCTTTTGTAACGAAATGAACTGTTTAGTTGAGTCATATTTTCTCTTGGGGGATGAGCTGTGATCAGATATTTGACTCTAGCCATAAGCCCTTGATTCTCTAGCAGCATCAAATTAAATTAGATTTTAAAAAAATTAAAAATTTCTGAGTGCAGATACTTTCTAGTAAAGGAGATATTGGTGTTTTCTGGAACAGAAAGCAGGAAACCACAGTGCCAGTGGTGAGGCAAACGTGTTTTTTTGGTCCTTCATTTCATAATATTTTTGCCGATGAGTGTAATCATATCTTGCTTCAACCCCTACAGGATTTTAATTTTCATACAGAGAAGAGGGTTCAACCGAACCCTCCGATCGAACTATTTAGCAAGGTGAATATATGTTGCCGTTATTGAGTTTTATGCCATTCTTCCTATGTTCCCCCCCCCCCTTCCCTTTTTAAATTTACTCCATTGCCAGTTATACAACTTGATTTGAATTTTAATTTTCACTCACTCAGTATTTTGATTTTTATTAAGATATTCGTACCCCATTATTTTTATACGGTTTTTTTTTTTTAATTGTTAGATGTCCTTGACATCTGAACTCCAGCCAAATAATGGATCTCAGACAAAACTATCTCCGCATTCCAACATGCTCAGAGGGGTATAACTTCTATAACTTTAAAGTGAATGCGATGGTCTTGGATGATTTATCATATACCTGAGCATCACACTGAGTTGGTTGTTTCTTGGTGCAAGGATTCAAAAGAAAATATATTAGGTTCTGTTCATCCAGTGCGAAAGGTAGTAATGGCACCGCCTAAAGATGACTTGTTGGCTTTGCTTTTGTAATCTGTATAACTAATTTGATCTATCAATTTTAAACCCTATATTTCTGTTCATTATTGCACATCAAACTTACCAATTAATCAATTTTGGAGCCGACACATGTCTTGTAGGAAAAGCATCCCATATTTTGTGGAAGGCAAAACCAATGTGGAAGTAACGATTGCAGCAGTGAAGCTAGTACGGTGTTTAGTGCCAGGAGGTATTTATTGGTGCTAGTGTTATCGTTTACTGAACTAGAATTTCTCTCCGTGCATCATTGCTGGGAAGTTTGATATCCAACAAAATATTATATGTAGGGAAAATTGACATGGTTGGCAAAAACAAAAAAAAACAAAAAAACAAAAAACAAAAACAAAAAGAGGCTTGAATGAAAATGTTAGTGTTTTATGTGTGCGCAGCAAGAATTTTCTTTCCTGTCTTCATAATTGTTGATCTTGAGCTCTTTCCAATTGTGATGTTCCAGGAGCTTGGGCATCCGGTGAAATCAAACGAAGGCAATGTTAAACAAGCTTCTGTCACAGGCATCAGATTCGAATTGCTGTTGAGATGGAAGTTCGACGAGTCCATAGTTCAATCTGAACATTGCGTAAAAATTCTTCTCAGATGAAAGATAGTTCTACGACTGCTGTATAGAAGTATTTGTACAAAAAGCAAGACAATACTTCAGCTCAGAAGAAATCAACACACCATGATCATGTATCTTGAACAACTGCCCCTTGATCATAGTATAATAAATACATTAGAAAGAGTTGTATAGCCTGAGCTTTTCAATATCTTTAACATTTTTTTAGCATTGAATCATATATACCAATGTCACATTCTGTAAGCTCAAATTTACTTGCATGCAAGAGAGAACAAAAGGCTGCCTCATCTCCCTCACACCAACCTAATGATCGGCCGAAGAGTTCGCCCATCAATCTCACTATTTAATGAATATGAGAAAAGGCAAAAAGCGTTGACGATGTAGAAGACCACATAACCGAGCCGAAGGAAACAATCCCAAAAGTAAGGAAATCCATGATTAAACTGCAGGCTTGTAAATAGGTTGTCAGGCTTCCTTAAGCAAGGCATTGTGTCTCAATTTAAGTTTATTCCTGGGCAGTGTCCTTGTTAACCGAGGTGTTCTTGGTGAGAGCTTTCTTGGTCCAACGCTTTATGTCATAGGCCTTCTTCAAAGGCTTCTTCTCTCTACCGTGTCTTCTCTTGGTTATGGCAATGGCAAGATCGTTAGGGAACAAAGTATGCCAGACGAACGCATGAAGAAAAGTGGACACGAACAAAACACACACCATCGTGGAAGACATGAAAGAAAGCCCAAGCGCAAGGCCCTTGCTTATTACCGATGGAACCTGCTCTGCATACTTGATCGTCGCCACTGACGCTGTCGTCATAGGAAACGTGTATGACCACCACGCCACTGAAAACCTGACAAACAATCCAGATGATATAAAACCTGTAAAACGGAATTGATGAAGGCACCAGTGGAACTTGGAGAAACACTGTACCTGAAACCTGTGAAGAAATTGATGCGCACCACAAGCGAACCGTAGAGAAACAAAGCGATGAAGTAGCAAGTTCTGGATAAGCCATCAAATTCACCGTATATATTTTCCCAGGCAAGACTGGCTGCGGAGGGAGCTGCGATAAACATGGAGTACACAGGGTGGAGCTCCTTGGGGAGAGCCTCGCTAGTGGGCAGTCTCTGATATAAAGTCACAAACACCACCAGATAGTGTGCGAATCCAACAGCCCACAAGAATTTGGCAGCCTCCTTCCAACCCACTTTCGAAGCTAAAATTGCCCCAACAAAATTTCCCACCACCGAGAGATGAGAAGAAGGATTTGCCACCTTACAGAGTCGTCTTTTACCCCCAGAAAGCCACTGCCCATAGATTTTGAGTTCCAGGAAGAAATATGGTGCCATGAAAACGCACCAAATGGCGGGATGAAGTGTCCCTGGGGCAATTTTTGGAGGTGCACCGATGGCTAGGAACATGCAGACAACCCAGGGCGCGAAGAAGAAGTTGACTCGAACTGGGTGGAAATATTCTCTTTTGACTGCTTCGAAGTAGAACACGCATTTGAGGATGTAGGTGACTGACACTGAGACTAGAACAGCTATGGCCAATAACCAGAGGCCAAAGTTGATGACTGGCGTGATATGGAGGAACTTGGTGGCAGGGCTTGTTGCAAGGGCACGCCACAGAACCGATTGGCTGCTCAGGCCAAGACAGATACCAAAGCATCCTATTGGAAACCGCAGAAGAAATGGCCATTTCTCATCCTTGGGCAGAAGAATGTCCTCTGATTCCTGTCACAACAGTTCATTAGCGATCCTTCTATAACTTTGTTCAACAACTTGAATGATCGACTACTGATACACAATACTATCTAAACATGCAATAGTGATTAATTGGTCACCTTGACTTCGTCTAGCTCAGGTCCACGAAGAGCTGCAAAATATCTACCCACGGGAACGCTTCTGTTAACAGATTCATCAAGGCCATTAGAGCCATCACTTCTCTGAGACTCGAGCTCTTTCTCCTTCCTCGAGGGCAAGAGAGAATTCTGCTTACTTAGAGTGGATTTTGTTTTGAAGATACTGAAGTCTCCTTTGCGTCCTCCCTCCAAACCCATCCTGTTGGCCGAATCGAACCCTCCGAAACTTCTCCCACTTCTCGGCAGAGCCTTCCTCTCATCATTAGCCTTTGACTCTTTGTTCAGCACAGAGAATCCCGTCTCAAGAGAAAGCTGCCTGCCAAAACTTTTTTGGGGTCTCTTGGCCTCCCGAACTCTGATGGGTCTACTCATTTTCTTGTCCACATTATTGCTATCCTCCATTTGAATGATCCTCTCTTCGTCTTCTTCTGGCAAGGCTTCATGCATATCCACAAAATGAGTCTGCAGGATTGTTGGTTTCCTGTCCATCTTGTTGCGCCGAAAACCTAACAAAACTAGCTCAACTCTTAAGATCAAATCTTAAACATTGATTACGTGAGAGTCATACCAAGTTTGTGCGGTATATATACATAACGTAAGCGCGGTGGGAAGGAGGGATCACGAGAAGAGACGAAAAAAGGAAGCATGTTTGGCAGAGATGAAATGGAAGCCAGTTCTTTGTGAGAAAAGGTGAGATGGGGATATGGAGTTCCCGTGAGGGAAGATCCAGAGAGTTTGTGGCTTTGCAAGGTAACAGCATGGCTAGGGGTTGAGACTTGAGAGCAACTTGAAAGTAAGCATTCACAAATCGTAAATGGAATGGAACAGAGTTTTCAACAAGGCACGAGGATTCACCCATATTGGTCCATCTCATTTTAACCAACAAGAAAGAGACTCTGCCTAATTGCCTCTATGCAGTTTCGCAAATCCGTTAGCCTCCGAAATAACACTCGTGTTTTTGGGAGGCAAGACTCTTTTCCCAACTGAAAGTTAAACTTTGTGGCTAATTTCTTCGTCGTTTTTGTCCATTAGGGATATTTCAAAATCCATTGTCGAGCACGAGAAATGTCGGAAATTTACTTATAATTGATCAATGAATATGGATCTTTTCAAAAATATGTTGCTATTATTTGAGTTTTCAGATTATTTATTATAAACTTTTTTGAAAAATTGGGAATTCAAAAATCACAAAAATATAATTTAAATATATTTCATTAGTTACATCAGTCTCTTTCAAAATGTACCAGAATTTTATGATTAAACAATTTTCTAAGTTTTACTTATCATCCAATAAATTGAAGATTAAAATTTGATTTAGCTTTTGGGGAAGAGAATTATGATGTAAGCTTGAATGCTTAAGAAATGGGCCGAGCCACCTACGAGTAGCTGGAAAGGCAAGAAACCAGAACGGGACATTGCATGTCCTATTGTGTTACTTCCGTCTAAAGTAGTTTGTGCATTCTCCCCAACACACCTAGGCACTCTGAACTGTGTCAGGTGCCCAACCCAACACTATAATACTCCCTCCCTTTTTATATTAAAAAAAATTATATCATATAATTTAAAAAAAATTAATTATAATAATTATATTTAAAAATAAAAAAATAGATTAAAATATTTTATATTAATCAATTTAAACATGCATTAATTATTTTTTATTAATATAAATTATAAAGAGTAAGTTAAAATATGTGTAATAAATATTTATTAAAATAAATAATTTTGTTTATATAAAAAATAATTAAAAAGTAATATTTTTTTTATAAATAAAAATGAAGGAAATAGTAATTCCGCTACCTCTAGAGCCATTTTTCATTATTAGCATTATGAGTTTATGACAGAGACACACAAATGTTTCCTTTTGAAGAAGTTGCCCATTCATTTTAAATCAGAAAACAACATTAATAAAGCGAAACAAAGGCAACCCACCAGCAAGTGAGGTCTTGCCAATTGCCATTAACTCTGCCTCGCTTGATTTGACCTTCCTGGTCGTCACATTCACATTGCAGTTTTTATGAAGGGAAAAGGACACTTTCAGATCTCGTAAGAAATAATGACAATAATAATAATAATAATAACAAACCATTTTCAAATGAGCTTTTATTTTCTTATTTCCAATTGAAATTTAATCATTTCCAACTTAAGGTCCTTGATTGTCATTTTTCTTTAAGGACCTAAAATGACATTTTTCCTTTTATTATTAATGAATGCATTCATTGTTCAGCTGCTTGTACTAACTAGTCGATCCCAATGAAAATAGCAACACATTTAAATACTACAGTTAAATTAATCATTTTTTTGAGTTATCAATGAATCTTATATTATTTAATTAAACCTATTGTAAAGAGACTTGAGTGTAGTTTTCCCAAATATATATTTACCTTTTTTCTTGTCATAATTCACATGAATCCAACAAAAATTTCGTATCTCATGCTAAAAACTTTCACAATTAACTTGATCAAAGTCACATCCAGCCGCCAAACACCCCTGCTTTGGGTTGGGTAGGTTAATTCCCTACCTTTTAGCACTTTGACAATTGAAAGTGATGAAAAATTCAAACAAGAGTGAGGTTCTACTCCAATTCTACCAGATGCCTAACACTTTTCTTCCCCCCCCCCCCCCTCTCTCAACAATGAACAGCCTTGACGCAGATAGCATGCTAGTAAACCCAATGAAATGTCAATAGATTGGGTCAAACACACCAGAGATCAGGAGAAACTGGTGAGCGTTATAACCATTCACATTTGGCAACACATCATAATCTTTGCCAAAATGAAAATGATATGACTTTAATGTATTTCTCATACTTGAAATGTAAGTAAAAAAAAAAAAGGACAATGACCTCACCGTGTGCTAGTTCCAACTGTCATTTTCCTCAACAAATCAGGTAAAAAAGCACGTAAATGTTGTGTGGTTGATAAAAATATCATAAAATCAACCTAGATTCTCTTAACTTAAGCTCCCTTGACTTCAGGATAAGCTTCTTTTTTCCATGCTCGGTTCAACTCCATCACAAATTCACAGTAGAACTGAACCGGAATAGCAAAGAATGTAAGTGAGATTCATTCTCGCTAATTCAGCTAATAATAATATTCCACCTCCAAGTTAAGGATTTCAACAGAACAAATATTACAATTTTCTTACAGCTAAAAGTAAAAGCTTATTCATGCACTCATTCGAAGTTGATCATTACTAATGGTTCCTCAAGCACAGGCATAATCAGACTTAAAAAGGCTTTGACCCACAGGACCAGAAATCAATCATCGAGCTTACCTTTATCATAAGCCACTCTGCACACATACAAATACCAATATACGTGCTCAACAAGCTTATCTGGAACGCAGAACCAGTACCTTGCGCTGGCCATTTGAGGCGTGCCTAATTTTGATCATTTGTCTAGCATTAACCAAGCTATATTTTCTACAAACGATTTTGGGGTTCATCAAGATTACCAAGTTTACATTTCGCTTCATAATGATTTTGCATTTATAAACAAACATAGAAATGAGCTTGTGATCAAGGATGACCACAACAAGCCTCCAGAAGCAAACAAAGTGACAATTTGATAGATTACAATGAAGGCTGTTTGATTAAATATATTATAGCAAAACCACCTGCAAGCTTGTAAACAAGCCAAAATACGAAGAATATAGATATGCAAAAGCTCCAAATCGTAGAATAACAGAATATGTACGAGATTGAAAAAAAATAGAACTTTTAAGATTTTCGTCTTTGAATCCTCTATGTGTGTTGCCCATGGATAACGAGCATATTACAAAGTTACACACGGCAAAGAGAGACAGAATTTGGGTTCTCTTCACCACTTTTACCAAGAATATTAAACCACAACAAATATAGAGAAAAAGAACATTATTCTATGCCTTTCACCTTCTTCCTATACAGTCCAATTGCTGTCATTTGATCCAATTCCTTCTATCTTTCACAGAAATCGAGTTAAACCAGAGGTAAATTGTGCAATATAAAAATAAAAATAAGCGCACCGTGTTTATGGAAATAAACAAAAGAATGTTGAGAATCATTGTCAATGAGCCATAGCTTTGGATCTCTTCTTTGCCTCGCTGTAAAGCACCACGCCCATGATGGTAATGGCGAATCCCGTCATTCCCATTACTGTGACAGGATTTCTGAATATCAAAACCGAAACAACGGCCGCCACAGCTGCCTTGGCATTTCCCAGAACTTGCAGCGTCAACGCGCTGGTGTGTTTCGTCACCAGAAAATTCGTCAGATTCACCAGATAAGCCACAGTCGCATTCCCAATCAACAAGAACAGGATGAATGGATCACCTCTAGCCTTTTCAAGCGTCACCGCCGCGACATTTCCTTCAATGTAGAGAGTGAAGGGAAGCAATATCAAGGCTGCAAGCGGAGCCATGTAGAGAAGCAAATTCATGGAGTGAAGCTTCTCTGCCTCAGAGGTCAACAAAATGCCCTGAACCACAGATTTCAAGGCACGCCCAGCAGTGGAACCAATACACACCAAGAATCCAAATAAATGAAACAAAGGCTCGCTGTTACTGGCTAAAACAATCCCAAAAACTACAGGCACGAGGGCCAAGTAAACCCCACCAGATTCTTTCTTGCAAGTAATCAAGAATGCGAATATAGCTGTGAAGAAGGGAGTAGTAGCACCAATAGCTTGGTTGAAAGAAACCGGAAGGTACCTCAATGAAGTATTGCCACAGACAACAGAAAAGCAAAAAATGGCACTCAAAGCAAAGATCTTGAGAAATTGTTTCTTGGAGTGGATTTGCTGGAGAGGAACAAGTTCAAGGAAATGAATAGCGAGGTAGCTGAAAGCGGCGCAGGATAACATGTGAAGCATTGTGAGGAAGATGGGGTAACGATAGCCATAGAAGCTGAGGAGGTACTTGTTGAGAAGGAGAACACCGATGTTGGAGAAATACCAAGAAGCAATGATGAGTGCAGTGGATAGATTAGGGGAGAGGCGGGATCCGAAACTGTAAGCGTTGTTGCGAACATCTCCAGGAGGGGTGGCCGGAATGTCGAGGAGCTGGTCAGTCGCCGCCGTATCCAGCAACCTGGGATTGCTCATTCTCCTGGTAGTCCATGTCTGAGCCTCCACCATCGCCAATGGACAAACAAGAGAAACCAAATAATCCCGATGTGCTCTCTCCAAAAAATCCTATGCCCGAGCAGGCGGGCGGGGAGAGAGAGAGAGAGGGAAGGAGGAGGAGGTGCAGAAGACTTCAGATCTAAGACGCAGAGAGGTGAGAGAGGAGTGGTGGGGAGGGGAGAGGGACGAATAAATAATGATATGCAGATAAAGGAAGGAGGAATAAAGAAGGCGCTTGAGATCCAAGGGCGAGGCTTTGGAATTGGCGTGGCTGACCGAAGCAGATGCGTTGGATGGGAAATGAATTAATTAACAACACAGAATGGGGACCGTTGTCCAAGGGAGAGGCACCAAGGTGGGGAAAGACTGTGTCGGTGTCCTCCAATGGACAATCTTTATCGCGTTATTGCTGTCAATGTGGGTATTAGTATTACCCTTTTTGTGGCATCGTAAGTGCCTATTCTGACTACATTCTACCTTACTCTCGTTCTTGTTTTCACAATCCACCACCTTTGACTCTGGTCGCCACGCATTGTAGTAATAAACAAGCGTCGCTTGCTTCCGTCCATGTGAGTTTTCTTGCAAACACAGGAAATCTTTTCTTGTGATTTGGATCTATTCATTTTTCTTGCATTCGTTTTTGTATTTTATTTTATCATAACCGTTTGATGCGTTTCTTTGGATCTTGTAAATGTCTAGTCCCCAACAGTGAGCTGTCAGCCGGCCCTGCTGATCGCATTCTTCTCTTTCCATCATTTGGGCCTCGGAAAGCGAAGCGCCCCACTTGGTCATGGGCTTAAAACCAAAGTCCCAAGATTGCGATGTTTCTACCACTTTTTACAAAGCCTACTTTTACATGGTTCAAACAAACAAAGCCTCTTTCAACAATTATAAGGTTTTTTTAAAAAAAAAAGAAACTGGAACTTCACTAACAATAACAAGAGTCAAAAGGCAATTAATCTCCATCATCACCCACCACCTCCAAGAGCACAGGTCGAGGATGATAAAAAAGACGAAAATTACTCTCAATATAGGAAGAAAATCTAGCTAACAGGTCAGCAAAAAGGCAATTAAGTCTAGCTTCGTCCGCGATATATTTAAATGGTAGTTGGGGCCACGCTCCCTGGTAAAAACACGCAATATAATAGGACAGAGAAAGAATGAAACAAAACGTGATGATGTGAAAAATATTTTTTTCAATATAAAATTTCATACTCGTCTTTAACTAAAATAATGGAGGGGCTCACATTCAAAGATCTTTTATGAGAATTATTCATAAATAATAATTAACAACTAAGTTACCATTTAAAAAAAACAAATTATTATTAACATTTTAATAACAAATAATTTTGATATTGATTTTTATCTATGAATATTTCTTTTTAAAAATAGTTGGATGTGATTCTCCCAAAATAATAACATTCAAATATTTCTCATCAAGTAATTATTAAATAAATATATTAAACATTATAAATATTTCCATGGAATAGAATAGAATTTCCAACACAAGCCAATTTTTTAAATTGATCTTGTTACTTTATAACAGAGATATAAATAAATAAATAAATTTATATACCATGCCGTGCAATTTTTTTGGCAAAATTATATTTAGGTCATACAAAAAGAAATGTATTATCAAGAGGTTCATAAAAATTATAAAATATTCTCAAATCCTAAATTATGTACAAGTTACAATTTGATTAAAGATATTTATAACTGAGCAATTAATAATTACAACTTACAAAGAAAAATAATAAGTTGTAAATGCTCCGTTGCTAAGTTATAAATATTTTTAATTAAAATTGTAAATGCATAAAATTTAAAAGTAGAAAATATTATAAATATTCTTAATCAAATTATAAATGCATTAAAATTTAAAATTTAAAAATATTTTATTAATATCATAGGACCTCTTATTAATAAATTTTTTCACGTAGGATTTAGGTGCAATTCTCCCCCAGGACGAATATGTCTTGCGGGTGAATGATCTATATTGTCGCCATCCTATCATGTTCCAATGCAATCTCACTTTGATCTTAACCAACTTTTCGTTCCAAAGGGAATTTATTATATAACATTCATTACTTCATTGTTCCGATCTCTCAGGGGAGTCAACATGTTTCAGAGGCACGAACGGAGACACGTCACTGCGCTACTTGCTTAATCTAACAGGAACAGCTCGCAGGGGTTTAGCCTTTTCCATGACAATGCCAAATTTATCTTCCATATCCTTATCCTCAGGGGTCATGCCATCTTCAAGCTCCCAGTCAAACGAGTTAATAAGCGAGCCCAAGATGAGCACCAGCATCTTCATGGCCAAGGGCAAGCCAGGACATATTCGTCGCCCAGCACCAAATGGTGCGAGCTCAAAGTGTCGACCTTTAACATCAATTTCTGACCCCAAAAACCTCTCTGCGTTAAACACATCTGGTTCGTTCCATATGCTCGGATCCCTCCCAATAGCCCAAATATTCACCAGAACTTGTGCTCCCTTCGGGATAACGTATCCGCATAGCTCTACGTCTTCCTCTGCTCTCCGAGGGAGTAAAAGTGGAACTACAGGGTGTAAACGAAAGGTCTCCTTTAATACTGCTAGCAAGTATGGGAGTCTATCCATGTCATTTTCTTCTACCGGGTTTCCTTTGCCTACTGTAAGCTCTAGCTCTGCTTTTGCCTTTGACATGGCTTCCGGGTTTCTTATTAACTCGGTCATTGCCCATTCTAATGTAGATGTAGTTGTATCTGATCCTGCGAGAAATAGATCCTGTCCAAAACCAAAGTTACTCGTGGTAAATGTCTCCAATGTAACAATAAAGATTAACTAGCATAATATATTCCAGTTAAAGGTGACATACCATTAACAAACGTTCGATCATGGTTGTGTTCAGTTGGCGGGTGTCATCTTCAGAAATACGGAGGAGGCCGTCCAACATGTCGTTGTCAGTGACATTACTTGTTTCTTGTCTCAACTGTAACCTATGGTCAACCAGGTCATGAATTATCTTCAACACCTTCCCGAAGTAAACATGCATGCGCCTTTTGATGCCCAGTGGATCCACCATCTTTAGAATAGGAAAGTAATCTGCCACGTTTGGTCTTCCAACCTCTTTCATGACATCCGACTCTAACTCTTTGAACTCGTTCACTGTGTCAGCGTGAACCAAATCCAGAGAACAAACGGAGTTCGACAACATATTGACTACAGTCATGAAAGTAGATCTTCCTATCTCTATTGCTTCACCAGTTAGGCTGCTCTGATGGATACGAGTGAGCAACTCCTGCACTTTCCAGCTCCTTCGTTTCTGAGTGGTGTCGAGAATCTTACTGGAGAATAAGAGATTGTTGCATATTTTCCTCAGGAATCGCCAACGAGGTGTGGTGGGCATGAAAGGCAGACTGAACTCGTGGTGGTTTTGACCCGTTATAGCATGGGGAATGGTACGGTTAGACAAGAGGTGATCATGGGTTTGCAAGACTTGTTTGGCGATTTCTGCGGAAGAGACGATAATGGTGGTCATTAGGCCGAGTTTTAAGCTCATGATGGGGCCATGAATCGCAGCGAGTGTGGCCAAGGACTTGTGTGGCTGTTCGCCGAGTTGGAGGATGTTTCCGATGATCGGCAACGGAGTAGGGCCCGGTGGAAGCTTGCACTTTGCTCTCTCGTTTCTTTTAGGACGAAGGGCTTGAACCATGGTGCAGGAGAATACCAGTAGGAGGATTAAGAGGACATATACTAACTCCATCTTCTTTACCGACTCGATGAAGCTCGAACTCACAGGAATAAGGGTCTCCTGTTATATGGTTGCCGTGGCTTGGCTGTATGCCAATATCGGTGTCACTGTCATGTTTTTAAACTTTAATTGACGTGGGTCTCTGTATTAATTTTCCTTTTTGCTGTGGAGTCTTTGCATTAAATCTACATTGGCACACACTTCGTAATTCATTTAATGTGCATTAATGGTGAGAAGAAGCATTGAACAGTTCCAATTGCATTAACAGGAGGTTTCTTTTGACCATCCACCTCGGACGTTATGTAGATATCATATTACAAGAGACTTTTTGACTATGGGAAAATTTCAGGAGACCATTAATTCAAAATAATATTAAAAAATTTCAAAATTTTTAAAATTTTATTGAGGGATTCGTACGAAATTTCTTTTAAATTTATGAAAAAATAATAAAATTATCTTTATTTAAATAAACAGTATAAATAATTTATTCGTTTCTATTATATGCTACTCATTTATTTACTGAATATTATTCGTTTTTGTACTTCACTTGTTTATAAGTATACTTTTACTTGATTTCATTTCAAGAGTCATAAGCAAGTGAAGTAGAAAAAATAGACAATATTTCATATGTAAATAAATAATATATAGTATGAAAATGAACAAGTCATTTATGTTATTCATTTAAATGAGGATAATTTTATCATTTCTATTATAAATTCAGAAGAAATTTCATACGAGGTCTTTTAGTGAAATTTTAAAAATTCTGGGATCCTCTTTTTCATTATATTGGGTCAAGGTTCCCCACCTAAAATTTTTCCTTTAACTATTTCTCTAAAATTAGAGAGATGATCAATTCATTGATTTGGTAATAAATTTTTAATTTAATCTTTATTGAGTTTTTTTAAAAATTTTGCATTAGATAGAGTATACTTTTATAGTTCATGAATTTAAATGAGAATAATACTTAAAAAAATATAATTAATACACTATTTAGTACCTTAGTCCCTGTTTGGTTCATTAGAACCATTTAAGAGAAATGGAGCTGGATATTGAATAGCAAGCGGAATTAGAAAATATGTGAAAATATATTTTAAACTTCATTTGGCATGATAGAAAGAAATGCATGGAATCATCATGTTATTTTTATTTTATTTATGTCTTATAATACAAAAAGGTTAAACTTCTAAACTTAACTATAAGTCAACTTTGTCTTTCAACATTAAAGATTCATTCTGCCATCACCCTGACATTAAAAACACCTAACATCCATTAGTCATTAGTGAGTCCCACCATTTTTTAAATATTTTTATCTGATTAAAAAATATTTTTGTCTCTCAACTTTTATTCGAAAAGTCAATGAGCATCTTTAATTTAAATATTTTATAATAAAAAATATTAAAAAAATATAATGTGGTGCTAACTAATAGTCAATTAACGTTAAAAAAATAACAAGATGATGAAAAAGTGAATCTTTAAAATTAATAAGTAGAATTGACCTATAATTAAGTTTAAAGTCATTTATAATCTTTTATGTATAATTTAGGAGTAAAAATAATCATTAACTCAATATAAAAAGTCAACAATGTCATCATCTTCTTCACCTCCTCATTCCTCCCCCTTGTTCTCCCAGCTTTTCGAGGCAAAAATTTACTAGAACTCAACCTAAAAATTCAAGTTATCTAACAAAAAAAATCTGAATTATAGAAGGCTAATACAACAAATAGATTTTAAAAGCATGAACAAGAACAGCCCTTAGACGTGAGATCTGCAATGCACATTAGATCTAATACAAGTTGAAAACATAAAAAAAATGTAGAATTGATGGAGTAAAAACTACAAAATCTTTAAACCTTCAATTATAAGTTGTTGTGACTTTCAAACGTTCGATTTGGATCACAATATGCCTTAATTGCTCATCTTCTCCACAATTTGCAATCTTAATCAAAGTTTAAGATGAAGATGAACTTTTAATCTTGTCACAATTGAATCACAGTTTACCCAACTTCTTGTCTTCTTCATTGCCATCACGTTAAACATTCACTGTATAGCTCAAATAGGTCTTTAAACCTCTATCATGATGATGTCCACCTCATAGCTTGCCTACATCTTTCCTCTATCATGCTGATGTTCTCTCTGTGGCTCCCCTCTTAGATAGAGCAAAGTGAAAAATGGTTGAAGGATTAGGTTTATTTTAGAAGGGTATATTTGAAATTGTGAAATTTTAATAAGGACATAATGGTCCTAAAGTTTGGGTTCATAGTTTCCTTGGCTCTACCTCAAGATCTTATGCAAGTTAAAAATATTAAAAAAATAAGTTGAATTGATGGAGCACAAACTATAGAATCTTTAAACCTTTAAATATAGGTTATAATGACTTTCGAACCTTTGATCTGAATCACAATATGCCTTAATTTCTTCTTCACAATTTGCAATCTTAATCTTGGTTTAAGATGAAGATGAACTTTTGATCTCTTCACAATTGAATCACAATTCACCCAACTTCTCACCTTCTTTATCACTATCACATTAAACGTTCGCTGTATAACTCAAATAGGTCTTTAGACCTCTGTCAAGATGATGTCCACCTTATAGCTGGCCTATATCTTTACTCTGTTGTGTCAACGTCCGCTTTGTAGCTCCCCTCCTAGATAGTACAAAGTGAAAAATGGTCAAAGGATTGGGTTTATTTTACAAGGGCATGTTTGGAATTGTGAAATTTTAATAAGGACATAATAGTCCTAAATTTTGGGTTCAAAGTTTCCTTGGCTCTACCTCAAGAATCCAAATTATTGCCTTCTCCTTGAAAATAGCTTCCTTGGAATCAAGTTTGGTGTCAAGCAAGCAAAGGAAAATTCATTTCCCCTTTCCTTTTCCATTTCTTGGTCCTATTTTCATGCAAAGCAAACATATTATATGCATAAATGTATCTATTATTTTTTCTATTGTATCATTTGGCATCCTTAAAACCTGAAGGTATTATCGTCAAACTAACTTGAAACTTTGTTGTATGGGACTCTTATTGATAGCAATGATTTCATGAGTACAGCTAAAATGTATTTGGCCTATTTATATAATATAATTATATATTTTGAGGCTTGAATTCGAGACTTCAAAATAAAATGATGTAATTTCCTCAATCAACTGAATCAAATGTCTCTTAACTTATGTATGTACTACTTATATTTCACATGTATGTTTTCTTATATATTATAATCCATCCGTTCATTTAAAAATACTTTTAGCTAATTTATGTTACCCAATGAATTAGTTAATTTAAATCATTAGGGAAAAAGACATAAAAAAAATCTTTTTAAGCATGTGCATGACAATAAGATCCTATGAAATACTACAATTTTTCTCAAGCCCTTGTAGACCCTTTCAACATTAATGATTTTTGATAAATTTATAAAAATACCGCTAATTTAAAATAGAAAAGTAGTTGCTCTAGTGTCAAAAAGTAAACATCAATGACTATTTTAATTTAAATAATGATTTTTTGTTTACAATGACTAGAACGAAAGCAGTAGCAAAACTAAGACCTTGAGTCTGGGGGTACGGTATGTTTTTTAACATTTAAAACTCAAAAATAATAATTTTAAATTAAAAACACATATTTTATAGTTATTTTTTAATTGAGTTTTTTTTTTCCTTTGTAATAAGTATATAACAATTTTATTGTTGATGTTATTAAAAGTATTCCATTAAATATAACCATGCTAAATTATTATTTTAATAGTGCCGCCTACTTTTTACAATCTTTGGAGCAAAAAATAAGAGATTTTTTTAACCATTCCAATGATAATATGTAAAATCATTGTTAACGTTAGAAAAAATAAAACTAATAGATAAATATATCTTTTAGATTAAATATCGTTGTACATATCAACAATAAAAATCAAAAATAAGTTATCAAGTATTATTGAATTAGTTAAAATATACAAATAAAAATGATCGAGATTCATTGGGGTACAAAATCCTATGACTAGAGGGAGTAAAATATCAAAATTTGTACCACTTTCATGTAATTTCTTCCAAAATGCACCCCTCAAATATATGTGGCTAAAGGAAACAAATAATCATAACTTTTTATGTGTAATTTTTTTATTCATTGAAATTCAAGCACTATAAATATTAATTATTTTAATTTAAATAATGAATTTTTTTTCTTAACAACTAGAATTCAACCCGTGTGATAACTTAATTGTTATTTAATGTTAACTGAATATAAATAATTTAAGAAAAAGAAAAGAATTTAGATCATAAAGAAGAAATAACAAAAGATGGAGAAGAAGCAAAGTGGGCGAAGAAGGCCGTGGACGCAAAAAAGAACATGAGGGAAGGTGAAGGGCCAATAATTGGGAAGGATAGCTCATGAAAAATAAAAAATAAAAAATGAAAAATGAAAATAGAAGGCAAGAAAGGAACTTTACTATTCAAACAACTGTAAATCTACAGTACCCTCAACGGATTTTACAATATAAGAAGACTACTAAAATGAAATAAATAATTATAATTTTTTTATATAAATTTTTCATTCAATAAAGTCTAAGTAGCTAAATGTTAGTTATAATTTTTATTTAAACAATGACTATTTTTTATCATTAATAATGAAAATAGAATTAGTAATTATACATTCTCCTATGCAGTTTTTTGTTTCATTGAAAGTAAAGTGTTATAAATATACGTAACTATTAAATATACTAAACTATGTACCTTAGTTTAAGTAAATGACTACTTTTTTTATAGTAATAACTAAAACAGAACAATCAATTATAACGTTTTCTATACAATTTTTTATTTCGCTAAAGAAATTTGCATAGAAGATTAAAGTTGTAATTACTTGTTTTATTATAATTATTGGTAAAAGAAGAGTTGTCAGTGCCTAAAATAAAGTAATTATTGATTATTATTTTTTTGGATTAGAGCTATTATTAATTTTATTTTAAACCAAGGTATTTTAATCATTTCACTGAAAACCCTTAATACCATAAAGGTCTAGAGGAATTTAAAAAGCATTATGACATTCTATGAGGTTTCATTGCCAATCACATGTTTCAAAAGAATTTTTTATCATTTTTCCTATCATTTATTCTTTTCATGTTCATTCTACTTAGCATGTTTTTTCAATTAAAAAATCTTATTAATTATATTCTTGTTTTTTTTTCAAAAAATGTATCAATTGTATTTTAAAATATATAAAATACCTTCTAACTTTTAACATGATGCTTTTAAAAGAATTCTTCCAATTTAACACTGAACCGAAATAGTAAGTTTAAGTTGTCATGAATTGTAAATTGATCAAAATCAAATATTATAGCTCTTTACACATTTTCTCAATATGTGTAATTTATAAAAAATATGTCAGATAGTTATTGCAACAAAAATTAATATTATTATTTTTGTATAATAACCATTCAGCATCAAATTTTACTTGTTAATCAATTCAAAACCAAATCATCTGAAGTCCTGAAACTCTCCTGTCAATCACGGACAAAAGATCCCCGCCGAATGAGATCTTTTTAGATTCACTTCTCATTTTCCCGCTATATCATCGGAAGAAATCTGATTTATTTTTATAAGGCCGACACATGGACGATGCCTTTCGCACGCACGCACGAGCTTGACCTGAGCTGATTAGAGAATGAATAACACTTTTATTGCGAAATAAGTTGAATTTATGATATTTTGTATTTTCATAAACTATAAACGGTTGCATAAAGAAGATCAGCCCAACTCTAAAGCACCAACCATTGAAACGCCAAAACTTGAAAGGGCTTGGCCCAACAAGTTGCAATTGTCTTAGAATTCTTGATTTTGAAGCCCGATCTCAGCTTTTAGGATTGTAGGGCTGGCCATGCGGACCTCAACCCTAATATATTTTTTTTAAATTTAAAACCCTGATAAATATACTTGTAATTTCAAAAAATGATGTTACACATAAAATTAAGTTTAAAAATGAATCTAAGTAAATCTACAACAAATCTATAAATTTTAAACATTTAATTTAACATCATAACAATGTTATCAAAATTATGTAACCAATTATGAGTATAAATAATAAGCTTAACATTATTTGAAAGAAGAGAACTTTAATATTTTGCCAAAATATGAAAATCAATACTAAAAAATAATTCATTAGCTATAATAGTGATTGGAATACTAAGAATGTCAACAGTTATCTTTGAAATAATTGAAAATTAATGTTAATTGTTCTTATGTAATTCTTTCAAATATAATTATGAGACTTAGTATTGATTTACTTAAATAATTTGCTAGTTCATACTCCATTAAAAAAAAAATCATACATGCTCATATAATTGTCTTGATAATCATACATTATAATTTGTAAAGGATTAAAGAAATATCACTTAAATACTAATAAAATAAAATAAGATTAGAAAATAAAAAATTTAATTGATGAAGTATTTAAAATATACATAAAATGTATTATCAAAAGTGATTGTTGTTGTTGATAAAAGATATGAAGTATGATAAACATTAGATTTTTTTTTTATTTTAACTTGAATTCTTTTAAAAAAATAATCAAACATAAAAGAGCTAACGTTTTTATTTCTAAATCTATTAAGGCTAGCGCTTTTAACCAGAAATTCATTTATACTCTTTAATTCAACAATCAAACTTTAGTTATTTTAAAGTTTACACAGGTTAGTTAAATGGGTTTGGCTAGTTTTGCTAGCTCTATTATTATAATAACAAAAAATTTGAGCCATACGTTGCATGTGATATATAAAATTAAAAACATCAAATTTAAAAATATTTTAAATGTAAGCAAAGAAAAAGTTTGAATTTGAAATGACAATGAAAATTTTTGCTCAAAAAAAAAATGAAATGACGGAAACAATTTTTGCTTAAAAAAAAAATGACAAAGAAAATTTAGTCTAAATCTGATACGAAGTCCAAGACTGAGTTCAACGGTGATATTTTATAAATAATATTGGACTCAAGTGATTTTTTACATAATTTAGTATATAGACGCCATGTAACACAAGGACTCTCTCCAACGAACCGAATCCATCTCCAAACGCCGTATTCATAGGTTGTCTTATAAGATATCTCCAACTCCAAATACAGTTGATAAAGATTCCTTTTTCGTGGCTAACATCTTTCGATCTCCGAACATGCATAGGCAGGCAAATCTGTATATTTTTGGATTAGCGACAAAGATCGTTGGCTCTATACGGTACCGCCAGCACCGGCTGAGCCTTCTGCAAGGTAAGTCCAAATTTATCATCCATGTCCATATCCTCTGGTTTCTTTCCACCTTCCAGCTTCCACTCGAAACAATTTATCAGAGAACCCAACACCAGGAACACCATTCTCAGAGCCAAATTTTGGCCAGGACAGATCCTCCGGCCGGCACCAAACGGAATCAGCTCAAAATTTCGGCCTTTGACGTCAATTTCTGAACCCAAGAACCTCTCCGGTGAAAACTCCTCTGGATTCTTCCACATTCTTGGATCCCTTCCAAGAGCCCAAACATTAACCAGAACCTGTGCGTCCTTTGGGATTGTATAGGCCCCCAGTTCCACGTCGATCTCAGCTTTCCTAGGAAGTAAAAGTGGAGCCGGAGGGTGCAATCGGAGCGTCTCTTTCACTACTGCTTGCAAGTAAGAGAGCTTACCTATATCTGATTCCTCCACCGGTTTTCCTTTACCGATGGTTTCCTGCAGCTCTACTTTTGCTTTTGACATTGCCTCTGGGTTCCTGAGCAGCTCAGCCATGCCCCATTCTAGCGTAGATGATGTCGTGTCACTCCCAGCCACAAATAGGTCCTGCATAACCAGACATACTAATTATTTCACTGCAATAATAAAAATCAGATTAAATACCAACATATTAAATACCAGTGATAAGCGTTGAATCCTCTCTCCGTCCATCTCTTGCCTGTTCTCTTCATCAGAAAGCAGGGAGTCTAGTATGTCGTTGCTGGGGAGTGAACCGGTGGCTTCTCTGAGCTTCAAGCGTTGAGTAACCAAGCAGTGGAAGACATCTAGCATCTTGCCGAAATGAATAGCGGTGCGACTTCTGACCCCCAGTGGATCAAGCTTCCTGAGTACAGGAAAATAATCGGCCACATTGGGTTTTCCAATCTCTTTCACGATATTAACCACTGTATCCTTGAACTCCCCGGCTGTGCCAACAGAGTGAACCAAATCCACAGAGAAAAAAGTATTGGACAACAAATTGATTGTAGTTTTGAAAGCCGCTCTCCCGATATCCACAGCTTCAGCGACCTCACTGCTTTCATGGACCTCTTGGAGAAGTTGCTGCACCTTGTGACGCCTGAGATCTTGGCTGGCATCAAGAACCTTGTTGCCGAATAGCTGATTGTTGCATATCTTCCTTAGGGCTCGCCAGCGAGGGGAAACGGGAAGGAAGGGCAAGCTATATTCATGATGGTTGAGAGCTGTCATGGCGTCGGGAACGGTCCGATTCGAGAAGAACTGGTCATGGGTTAGGAGAACACTTTTGGCCATATCAGCGGAAGTGATGACGATGGCGGTGACCTGGCCAAGCTGGAGACTCATGACTGGGCCGTAAACGTTGGCTAGCTCGGCCAAACGCTTGTGCGGCTTGTCCCCAAGTTCGAGCAGGTTTCCGATTATGGGAAAAGGAGGAGGACCTGGAGGAAGCTTGCAGTTTCCTCTGTTGCTTCTTCCATGTGGCAGAGGCAGAAACTGGATGAAAACGCAGAGGAAGATAATTAGCAAAAGTATGTAAATTAGAAAATCCATTTCTGCTTCTGCCTTCCTTTTTATGATGACATAGCTGAAGTATAAGGAATGTTCTTTGTACACAAGGACTACAAGCTCCTATATGCTCCAAGAGAGGCCATGAGCTGCGCGGATTACCTGGCTAAATTAGCCGAAGATCTCTCCTGTGGTTGGATTTATATTGATGAAGCTCCTAGAGGATGTAACCCTCTCCTTTCGTTTGATAAAAGTAGGGGCATGTCCCACGGTAGTTAATTTTCTCCTTGTTTAGTTACTGTTTCTAACTTTTGCTAGCCTTATCTACCAAAAAAGGAAAATCCATTTCTGCGAGAGACTCTGGCCACACGCGGCAAGCAGGAAGGCAGGTGTAATTGAATAAATTGAAGAGATGCACATGGGTGTTTAAATTCTTTGAAAATATCTAACCGAATTTGTCACAATGAAATAGACCTCCGAATTTGGACGCATACCGGCTTGAAAGGTCTAAAATTAGCGAAGAACAAAAATCTTCTGCTAATTCAAGTGACACGGGCAACCAAAGAATGAAGAGAATGAATTGGAGGGGGAGGGGGGAGGGAATGGAGTGTAATGGATTTTATTTCTGGTTCGTATTTATCAAGGTTGTGCATGCAGTGTCGACCTGGGCAGGCAACAAATTCATTTACATATTAACAATTAAAAAATAATAATAAATTATTTTATAAACGATTTTTTTATAAAATAATACTTGTATTTAGGTATGATGAAATTGTGGGTTAAAATTTACTTGGTTGAATTAAAAAATTTTACTCTTGGACATGTTTAAAAATAACATAAAATGAATTTAAAATTTAAAATATTAAAATAAAATGTAATATATATATATATATATATATATAGAGGGTACAGTATATGAAAAAAATAAAGGGAAAATTTCATTCAAGATCCTTTTCCAAAGATAATGAAAAATAGAACTTTAAGATTTTTGATATTTCACTGCAAGACTTGGGACCTGCTTTGATATTAATTGTGAAATGAAATGATAAAGTTACTCTCATTGTGAAAAATCGTCAAGGAGGAAAAGAGGTCTTGCAAGCACGTAGAAGACAAGGCAAATAGTGAGGTTCTCAAAGTTTAGCCATGAAACCTTTGTTGTCGAGCTTTTTACCTAAGAATCCTGGTTGAATAAGTCATTACAGGTTGGCCATTGCCTCTAACCTCATTGTCAGATTTTCTGAAGCAGAAGCAATGAAGGAGTTGACAAAGTAGCAAGTTAATGATAAAGTCAACCTTAAAAAGAGAAACTCACATGCAATTTACAACTTTATTGGATGGGAACCACAAAAAGAACTTCAAACATGATGCCATGTTGCAATTTCTTGCAACTGACAATGCCAATAAGAGGTGAAGTTAAATTACTTGTTCCAATTATTAACAATATCAATGTTATATCTTTTTGCATGTTATTATTATCGTGAAGTACCTTGGAATTTTTCTTTTTGTGAATACATAAACAAGTCATTAGAGAAGAATGAATTAGTCATTCACGCTCATTTGCAACTGTATTTAACAGGAAAAATAAACTATAAAAATGTAGTTTTATGTCAATTCAAACTGTTGTAATAAACACGTTAGGTAAGGAAATTAACAACATTTTGTAGGGTAATAAACTACACACAATAGAGTGACAAATAAATCATTCAAACACAAAACTAACACACACTTGAAATTCTTTCAAATCAGTGTTATAACGAACAAATGAGGTAAAGAAACTAACAAGATGCCACAGGGTGATGAACCACACACAGTAGGTGAGAAACAAGTCACTTAGAATTTTTTAAGTTAGGTGAAACCTAAACTCATACATATTTGGATTTAGTGATCATACTTAGTACATCTGAACCGTTAAAATCTAGATTAATAGTTATGAGTTTATACTCCATTTGAGATTAATGAATGAGTGAGTTTATTTGAAATGTTGATCTTGATCTAAATTTCAACTACTTAGATGGTACAGGCACTGTACTAAGTACAGTCATCAAATCCAAATCCAACTCATATTGGTAGAACTATTACATATCGGTATGAATAACTCATATCGATGTCAACACAACATACCAATATGACCAAAGTTGTTATAGAAAACCACAATTGTAACCAACAAGTGAGGTAGAGAAATGAACAAGATATCATAGAGTGATGAACCATACACAGTAGGGCAACAAACAAGTCACTTAGAATTTTTCAAGTTAGGTGAAACCCAAATTCATATCAATAGAACCGGTACATACCAGTATGAATAACTCATAATGGTATCAACACAACATGCTGGTATGACAAAGGCTATCATAGAAACCTACAATCGTAATAAACAAGTAAGGTCGGAAAATTAACAAGATGCCGTAGGGTGAGTAGGTAACGAACAAGTTACTTGTAAATTTTGAAGTTAGGTGAAACACAAGCTCATATCAATGTTAACACAACATATTGGTATGAGAGAAGATGTTATAGAAACCCATAATTTTAGTGAAGAAGTGATGTAAGGAAATTAACAAGATATTATAGGGTGATGAACCACACATAGCAGGGTGACGAACAAGTCACTTGAAATTTTTTAAGTTAGGTAAAACTCATATTGGTAGAACTATTATATACCACTGTGAATAATTCATACCAGAATCAACACAATATATTGATATGATAGAATTTGTTACAGAAACCCAAGCTCATATTGATGGAACCAGTACATACCAGTTTGAACTACACATACCGATATATTAGAGACATACCAATATGATAGGTACGGTTTCTCTGTCTTGATCTTTTAATCTCATATGTTCATTTAAAATTTACTTCCAACAACTACTTTTTCACATCGATAAATTGGTAACATTTCGGCATGACTCTGTGTTATAAGAGGTGCTTCTATCTCATTCTTACCTATACTATTGGTAGGAAACTTAGATTCTCTCGCTCGATTTTCACCATCTTTTCACTAAAACTAAATTTTCTCTGTGATTATCTTTTAAGCACTTTCTCAACCCAAAACCCTCAACCTAATCTATTAGCAAACCTCTTAAATTTATGATTCAATCTAATCCTAAGTCCAATTCATTGAAGAAGATGACTCGAGTAAAAACTATAAAAAAATCACTCACTAATCAAGGAAATAGTTCAAATGACTTTCATAATGTTTGTAATCTCATTATAAAAAGAAAAAGAATGAGTAAAAACACTTTGGAGAATAAAGTTGATGTGTTAGACAAAGCTAAACAAGTTGTCAGTGCTCAAAAGAAGCAAAAAGGGGATGAGAGGGAGAGAGTATTCTTGTGCTTCTGTTTGCCTCTTCCACTGCCTTCATTCAACTTCAACTTTTCTTTTCATTTTTTACAATTAGGAGCAATATTATCATTTGACTTTAAAATTTAATATCAAATCAGGTTTCAAGCCTTGTAATAAGATATCAGAAATCTTAGAGTCTTCTTTTTCATTATTTATGATTAAGGGGTTTTTAGTGAAATTTTTTCAAAAAATAAAGTCCTATAGTAAAAACCTATGCTCCTAATACATGTTTTTCTTTTTTTTTTTTTGGTTGAGGGGATGTACATGCTGCGCGCCTGTCCATTTGTGGCTTCGCCATTAATGCATGTCTAAGGCTTTTTGTTCGCAGACGAGGGTCACGGGTGGCCATAAAAAATAAAAACACATTTATTAAAGAGTAAATTGAATTCATATTATTTTGTATAAATAAACTATCGTTCTAATAATATTTTGAAAAATGAACCGAACAATTAAATCAAAAATAATAAAATAATTGAATAATATGAATTTAAAACATTATTAGAGTGATAGTTTATTCATACAAAATAAACTATCAGTCTAATAAATGAACTGTTTATGGTTTATTTTTTTTATAAATTTAACCCTAATTGTTATAGTACCCATGTGGATATTAATGATATTAAAAAATTTAATAGTTATGATTTATTTTGCTATGAATTTAAAATTTTAAAATTTATTTTGTATATTTTAAGAGTTCAAAATTCAGGATGATTTTTGAGCAATAATTTAAGATTTTATTTACTCATTAATCCAAAATATAATAAAAAAATAGAATAGAAAAAAATAGAAATAATTATTTATTTTAAAATCTCATAACCACCTAACAATCTTTTCAAATAACACAATCCTCATATCCATTTACAATTATAATTGGGTTATAGTCACCCAATACAATTTATATTAATAAAATCAATATAAAAATATTTAATATTTGGCTTAGGTTTGCAAATATAATATCTTAAATAAATTTTAACCTTCTATATGCCATTTGGTCAAAATTTCATTTTTCCAACCTTATAATATATGCTTCCAACAAGTGCAAATCATGAACCAACAACCAAAACAGACAACTCAATCCATTTCCAAAACAAGCCAATTATATGACTCTATAATTATGCCATTTCAAACCATCCAAAATAAATTAAACTTGAAAGTTACAATCATTTAAAGTGTACCAAAGGTAGAAATAGTTTAAGGACATGATCACACCATTACATTTATACAATTATCAATAAACAAAAAGTCATAGTATTGGCAATATAATATCATTAAAATCGTATATTACAATATCCATAAAAGGTAGTGGGTACACAACAATAAGCCTTAAGAGCTTATCCACGAGCCACAGTTGGCTCATCTTCTAAAAATTGTTAACCATATAATAAGATTTAAAAGTCTCAATGACCAATACTAATTCATGATAAGATATGCTTGTTAAGTGGGGAAACAACAACATTTTAATTCAAATAGAAAAATAAGAGATATTGTAATATATGACAAACAATCAACTTTATCTCCCTCCACTAACATCAAATGTAGTCTTTACTCGATATTAAATCACTCAGTCAAAGGTATACTGACTCGAACTTTTACAAGCCACCTATTGAGCTTCCAATAGAGGCATATCACATGGCACAAGATACAATAACAATAAGAAGTCTCATAACACCTTCCATAAGAGTCAAGCAATTACATATCAATAATAAACAAATATACAACATTACAATCTTCACAATTTTTTCATTTTTAATAATATTACAATATAACATCCCATTTGGCAAAAAACATTTTAAAATATATACATTCACAACTCCCTAATTTTTCAATAAACATATCAATATAATTTCTCAACATCCCATAATATTATATTAATAATCACACAAATAACAATAACCATCATTGATCACAAATTAAAAAATGATTATCTTGTGACTTTATTAATAAATTATCTCTTACAACTTCTCTTCCACCATTAGAAAAATCATTATTAGAGATGGATAATT